TTCTTCCTCATATTTCTGTGTCTAGACCATGCCTGCTGACCCTCAGCGAGAACAGCACTCCCACTGGGCTGTGGGTAGGCCCCAGTCGGCTGAGGGTGCCCATGAGGCCCCTCAACTGCTCCTCTGCCACCTCCCCCTGCCCTGGGGTCCTGGGAGGTGCACATAGCCACCCAGCTGCTGGAAGTTGCTCACCCGAGGGAGTTTCTGACTCATAATGTGTGAGCTGGCGTCAGGCTCTGCTCAGATGGCTGCCCATAAACCCATAAACACAGCGTTCACGACTCAGGCCACTGGGCGAATCCGCTTTACGGCACTTCATTTACGAGGGCCGAGGGCTCATGCTCTGAGGATCCCCGACACATGCGACCTCCTCCTTACAGCCACGGAGACCGCCCAGCAGCTGAAGCGGAGCGCTGGGGTGCCCTTCCACGCCAAGGGCCGGGGACTGCTGCGGAAGATGGACACCACCAGTAAGGCCCCCGGTGCAGCGAGCCTGGCTTTTGGGGTGGAGCTAAGGGCTTGCCCTGGAGATGCCGCTCTGTGTTAGGGAAGTTGTGCTTGGCCTTGGGAGCATGTGGGAATCAGAGGCGCTGGGGCCATTTCACCAGCTTTTCCCCTTGGGGAGCTCCCTGGGAGGGTACGTGGGCGCTGAGACAGAAAGGCCGGGTTCTGAGGATGGCGCTGTCCCCTGTTCTTTGGCTGATGGTAGCAGCAGCAGCGGCTCCTGGGCTTCCTAGCTGCTCTTGGGTTCCGAGTGTCCCTGGGTGGCTCTGCAGGGAGGGTGTGGCCCTGCAGGGAGGGTGTGGCCATGCTCAGCCGGGGCTGCACCTGCTGCACGCCTCCATCTGCCCTTCCTGATTTGTGCTCGGGGCTGGGTGTGAGCTTAAGCAGAATGGACCCTGGCGACTGGAAGACGGGGTGCCCCTGGGAACCATGGCAGGGCACAGGCACCCCGGAGGTGCTGGATAGTGACCTGGGGGCCAGAGGGTAGAACAGGTGCTGTCCTGTGCTGAGTGAACTCACAGATGGGTGGGGCAGCCATGCAGGCACCTCCAAGCAGCACTCGGGCCAGCCTGGCTTGGTGTACTGGGGTTCCTGTAATCCCAGTGTCCACGTGGCACCTGGTGGAAGGCTTCTTGGGTCTACTGACTGTTGTCCCGGCTCATGTCCCTGCCCACTGCAGCAGAGGCTCCACCTTGCTCTACTCTGCCTGCCTGGAGCAGACCCCTGTCTTTCCACCCCAGCCAGGCACCTCAGGGCCAGGGCCGCACCTGCTCTCCCAGGGAGGGTGGGCCGATGTTGGGCAGGGTGTCCAGCCTGGCCCAGTATGCTAATGGCACAGTCCCCCCCACACACCCCTCTTTCCCAGCCTGGCACCATGAGAGCCATGCACACATACCCTGGAGGGGTGCATGTGGGTGCTGGGGGGCAAGGGCATGGACTTGGGGAGGGCTGCCCTCGGGCCCAGGCACCTGGCTTCTTGCCCCTGCCTGTGGAGGTGCAAGGAGGTGGAGCTCAGCCCCCGCAGTGCTGGTGAGAGCCTCCACCTGGTGAGGTCCCATGGCTGGGCCGAGGTGACACCCAGCGATTCGTTTTAGTGTCTTGGCAAGTGTGAGGTCGTGGCTCCAGGTGCCCCCCAGCTCCCTGAGGTCCGGGATCCTGGGGGTCCCGCCTGCTGCTTGTCGAGGTTTTGGCCTTCCCCTAGAAGAGGCTGGGACATTCTGGGCTCAGAGGGGCAGGGGAGGCTTGGCGGTCACTGCTGCTGGCCCTGACAGATGCCCTTGTCCTCCAGCCCCACTCAAAGGCATCCCAAAGCAGGCGCCCTTCAGAAGCCCCACGGCGCCCAGCGTCTTCAGCCCCACAGGGAACCGGACCCCCATCCCGCCTTCCAGGACGCTGCTGCGGAAAGAGCGGGGCGTGAAGGTAGGCCTGTCCCGCAGCTCCTGTGGCGCCCCGAGGCCCGTGGCACGCTGGCGCTTGCAGTGTCACTAAGGTGGGCTGTACTTATCTTGGCAGCTGCTGGACATCTCTGAGCTGGATATGGTTGGCGCTGGCCGAGAGGCGAAGCGGAGAAGGAAGACTCTCGGTGGGTGCCAGGGGCCTGCTCAGAGGTGGCAGTGGGGGTCCCTGTGGGCCTGCCCAGACGGGGTGGGGCATGTCTGTTCTTGGCAGGCAGGGCTGTGCCCCTCGAGGTTCCTCTTCCGTGGGTGGGTGCTGCTTTTCTCGTGGCTCCTTGGCGTCCTGTCCTGGGGAGCTGTTGGCTTCCCTGCTGCTGCCCCGAGCTGAGCCTGCAGACGCGCCCGTGCGCTGGCGAGGATGCCTGTTCTGTCCACAGATGCGGAGGTGGTGGAGAAGCCGGCCAAGGAGGAGACGGTCGTGGAGAACGCCACTCCGGACTACGCGGCCGGCCTGGTGTCCACGCAGGTAGGGCTCAGGGCTGCACCCCTTGTTCTGATTGTGGCCAGTCTCGTGTGTGTGTGTGTGTGTGTGTATGTATGTGTATGTATGTGTGCGGTATGCATGTGTGTGTATGTATATAAGAAGCAGTGCAGGTGGTGCCCTGATGTGGGCATCAGACTCGGGCTTGGCACGGGCACCTGCCCCATGCCTGCTGGAGGGGCTACGGGGTGGGGGGTCCCTCACCCCTGCGGTCAATGTCCCGTCAGGTAGGGCTGGTGGTACCTGCCTTGCAAGTGGCCATGAATGGGCGCTGGCCGGGCCTGTGGGAGTGCTAGGTGGGACCTGTCAGAGGCCTCAGTGCGCTGGAGACCAGGCCCTGCCTGTGGGTGGGAGGAGGCAGTGGGTCATCTGAGGCCAGGGCCTGGAGGAAGCCACACCACGGGGTCACTTCTGGGTAATAAGCTCCTTCCTGTCGCGTAGCTGCATGTTCTGGGTTTCTGAATATGAACATCTTCCTTTTATCAATGCTTTTGTGGTAAGAAAAAGCATTGTTCTTTCCTTCAGTCCTCAGAAATGGGCGGTTTGGGTTCCCCAACCCCTCCCCTCTCCTATCCAGGAGCTGCTCAGTCCCAGACTCTACTGGGGCGCCAGGGGTCCCATTGCCCAGCCCAGGGAGCTCGGGAATGGCCCCCACCATCCTGCTCTAGCTTAGGGGGCCACAGCCTGTGGGCCGTGAGGGAGCACATGCTGGAAGCAGGGCCTCTTCTGGGAGGGACCCTAAACTGTCTTCCAGAAACTTGGGTCCCTGAACAATGAACCTGCACTGCCCTCCACAAGCTACCTGCCCTCCACGCCCAGTGTGGTTCCTGCCTCCTCCTACACCCCCAGCTCTGAGACGCCCCCAGGTGAGTCTGCTGGCCCCAGCCTGGAACCAGCCAAGCTGCCACCAGGACATGGCCCTGTCCCCCGGGCGCTGCTAGGACTGCAGTTCTCACTGCCGCATCTCTGTTGTCCCCCTTCTGCCACGGCCAGTGCTAGGGGCAGGTGCCCTGCTAGTCAGCTCAAGTTCCAAGACCTAAACCAGCTGTTTTGCCCCTCTGCCTGTCCTGGGCACAGACAGGCAGCTGCCACAGGGGATATGGCAGGAAGGGGATTGGGCTCGCAAGGAGTCTTCTGCCAGGTGAGCCAGCTCTTGTTGCTGGGTAGGCGGGGAGGAGAGCTAAGGGCTATCCCCTCCCAGATGGAAGGCACTGCCAGGCTCACGGCACCCCAGGCCAGGCGCTGGGCCTGAGGGGCTTGGGGACACAGCCTTCCTCTCCCCGTCAGTGCCTGCGGTATGGGGGCCCCGCCACAGGCCAGCAGCTGGCCGGAGTCCACACATCTTACCTGCGGGTCTGGGAAGACCTGAGACTGCTGGCCTTACTCCTCCAGCTGCGGCCACAGGGAGTTCTCGTTAGAGGTAGCAGGACAGAGAAGGGGAGCTGAGCCTGTCACCTCCAGGAGCACTAGGGTTTGGGGACAGGGCGGGGTCCAGCTCCCTCACCAGATCCTGGTCTGCCTGCAGCCCCATCTTCCCGGGAAGCCAGCCGCCCACCAGAGGAACCCAGTGCCCCGAGCCCCACGCTGCCGGCACAGTTCAAGCAGCGGGCACCCATGTACAACAGTGGCCTGAGCCCTGCCACACCCACGCCTGCAGCGCCCACCTCGCCTCTGACACCCACCACGCCCCCGGCTGTTGCCCCTACCACTCAGACACCCCCGGTGGCCATGGTGGCCCCACAGAGCCAGCCTCCTGCCCAACAACAGCCTAAGAAGAACCTGTCCCTCACGGTAGGTATGCCCTGGCAGGGCCCACAGGCCACCAGGTAGGTGGTACAGCCTTGGCCACCTGCCCTGGGATGGAGGTGCCATAGTGCCTGCAGAGGGGGAGGCAGGAGGTGGTCCTGGCAGAGCCCCGTCACCCACACCCCTCTGCCCGCTGTAGCGAGAGCAGATGTTCGCCGCCCAGGAGATGTTCAAGACAGCCAACAAAGTCACGCGGCCCGAGAAGGCCCTCATCCTGGGCTTCATGGCCGGTTCCCGAGGTGTGTGGATGCAGCAGGGGCTGGGGTGCACCGGGCGGGGTCGGGGGTGGGCGCTTTGGCCCCAGACACCCACCCAGCAGTCCCTGCCCTCTGCAGAGAACCCGTGCCAGGAGCAAGGGGACGTGATCCAGATCAAGCTGAGCGAGCACACGGAGGACCTGCCCAAGGCGGACGGCCAGGGCAGCACCACCATGCTGGTGGACACGGTGTTCGAGATGAACTATGCCACGGGCCAGTGGACACGCTTCAAGAAGTACAAGCCCATGACCAACGTGTCCTAGGCCACCTGCCTCACAGCAGGCCCTCAGTTGGGGGCTCCGAGGGACGATGGCTTTGCCGGCATAAAGTACCCGGACGGCGGACACCTGGCACACGAGGTCCCCCCAGCTGCCCTGGCCACCGCCCTGCTGCTGACCCAGCCTGTTTCAGTTCTGGATGCATTTCTCTGGGGTGTTTTGGGCTTATTTTTAAAATTTTAATATGAGTTCCTTTTTGTGTGATTTAAGACACTTTTTGGACTCAGCGTTACATTTTTGAATGTAGTAAGTTAACCAAAAGTTACAACTTCCTAATTTTAGTGACAGCTCTGTTAGACTCTTACTTTTAACAATCTTTTCTTAAAGAAATTCCACTGACAGCGAGTAAGGACCTTCCCTCGCTGGGGCAGTGCCCTCCCGCCCCCAAGGTTGAGGGGACCAAGGTGGCATCGGTGATGCTGGGGGTGGGCAGGAACACCCAACCACACCAGAGTGTGGGAGACGGTGGGCCTCATCCCCTGCCAGTGCCTGCCGGGGAGTTTTGTATTCATCTTTTGTACAGTTGTGGACATTTACGACAGTCTTTGGGTACTTATTTTCATTGTAAAATTATCTGAACAATTAAAGTTTAGCTTTTCTAAAGAAAGCCACCATAGCTGTGTTTCGGGCTAGCTTGTCCTCCCTGCACTGGGGACCCAGTCCCTCCGTAAGCGGCCATCAGGACGGGGTGGTCCAGGGCTGGGAGCTCCCTAGTACACCCTGGCTCACAGGGAGGGGGGAACAGGTAGGATCAGCCCTCGGGGTACTCCCTGGACCTGGCTGCGGGCCTGGGGACCGCCTGGCTCAGGGCTGAGGGACAGCAGCGGTTCTTTCTCCCCAGACCGTTTCACCTTTAATGGGAATTTGGGAAGCAAATTATCCAAAGTCAGTTACCCCTGCTACTTCCAGTATTTGTTCTACTTCCAAAGGTGGCACTGCCTCTCCCCAGCAGGTCAAAAGCAAAACGGCACGGTCAGGACAGGGAGCCCCACCCTCAGAGGCATCAGTGCCATCAGCGCCTTACCATGCTGAGCAACTGGAAAAAAACACAATCCCATATAAAATAAGAAAAAAGCCTTTAAAATGTTTTTAATACAAAAATACTCATACACTATTTTCCAAACACAGCTTTCCACTTTAAATGCTATTTTCCCCAACTGGCAAGTCTCAAGTCTCTAGTTGAGTATATCCCCCCCCAAAAGTGAATTTCAAGTTTTTAAGTCTAACTATCAAACCTGGTGACAGCACCCAGTATTCCTAAAAGGAATCCGACCTTATATTGTATGAAGTTTAGACACCAATCGGCACATTTAAGTTTGCATTTAATTTCTGACGGCATTTTGCACCTCAGCAGAGTGCGGCGCTGCCGCAATACCCACGGACAGCATTTTATCGACCCACTAACAACAGCCAACTACACTCACAGGATCAAGATATTTGGCAACTGACAGTCATTTGTATTAACTTTAATTATAAAACAGGTAGTTCTGGAAGGTGGGCACTGCACACGTTGGGGTTTAATGTCAAGACAAACACTGAAGGGGACCCAGACGGCCGCAGGCGGGTGTCACCGGGAAGGCCGGCTTGAGGACCGACAGCTGGGTCCTCACTTGAGGTGCCTGAGGAGTTTCCCCACAGGTGACATTCTAAGCTGCCCAATCAGACACATCCCCTGTGAGGACACGCGGGTGGATCTGGGTTTAGGTGCAGATCCTGGTTGGTTTCAGATGCCAAGGAATCCTGAGGGGTGGGGGCAGTTTTTGTGTTTTGCCTCACATGAATGACAGAAGTGAAGTTCAGGAAGTCACCTCGTCCTCAGAACACAGCTGCGCACGCAGGGCCGAGCGCCAGGCACATCCACGGTCACAGCAGGGGGCCTGGTGAGCCCCAGGGAGAGGAGCCCTGCAGGCTCGGGCCACTACCCCAAAGTCTGGTTTCGCCGAGTTGCCACCTGGTATTCTAGGGACATTCAAAGTTAGTGTTATTTGTTCATTAGTTTAACAGTTTTTGGACAGAGGGAGGAACCATATTTAAAATTTTTGCAGTATTTCCTTAAGAAAGATCACAATTTGGAAGTATTAACAAAGTGACTAAAAGTCATAAGATTTTACTTCTGTCAAACACAAAAATAAGTTAATACCTGTGCCCGAAAGTGCACTGCAAAGCCAGTTCTGATGTTTTCACACAAGTGTGATTAGTTCCTTCGCTGCTGGAAAGGATCTTTTGGGCAAGTGATGACGGGGCCCTGAGGCCTCAGACTCCAAAGGCCAGGACCACGCACGTGTGGTGACACTGCCCAGCCTCTCCCTGCAACAGCCTTCCAAGTGAGGGCATAAGGAGCATACATGTATGAGCTGATCCAGTATTTTCTTAGGACAGTTTGAGAGACGCTAGCGTGAACTGGAAAGCACTCCCACCCGTCTTAACCGGTGAGTGCACCTCAGAGGCCACGGCCACGCATATGCAAGTCAGTGGCCGCACGGCTCATTTCCTCTGGGTCCTCTGTGTAGTTAACTTTGCTGGGGGCCATGATTGGAGAAGGGACAGCCACCAGCTAGTGAAACTTCCAGTGAGTGCTCAGGGAGGCGTGGGAGCTGCAGAGGGCCACCCCACACTTGCAGGTCAGAAAACCACAGAACAGCCGGTTTCAGGTACAAAGACACTGCAGGTTGACAAGGTGTAAAAGATGACACAGAAAATGAACAGGAGGCCCCAGCAGAAGTTTTCAAGAGGAGTTTTGTAAACTTTTCTGCAACATGCACGTGTCCTCCTTAGGTTATTTTAAGAAGAAAAGGCCATAAAAAAGCACCTGCTGCTGCTGAATGTTCTCTCCCTCCCACCCCCACCGGAAAGCAACAGCCTCTCAGGGCACGCGGGCAAAAGCACACACGGTGCCCCTTCCCAGGGTACTCCAGACTTCCCAGGGCTGAGGATCCCTCAAAAAAGAACCAAGTCTTACAACATAGGAAGTACTCAGATATGTCTCACTTTGTAGGGCTGGACCTTTTGAAATCTCACAGGGAGAGGGTGTCAGACCAGGCCTCGACCAGTGCCCAGACATGCAAGGCACACACACCCACCAGGCCAGCCTCCACCCCCACGACCACACTACTTAGTGTGCACCCTGGCAAAGGGCGACCACCATCAGCAGAGTCTGCGTCTTCCATCAGCAGACCCACGGAGTGCTGAGATGGAAGCCACTCTGGGCCTCTCCTTAGACCCACGTGCTGTGGTCCCTGGGGCTTGGGCCTGCAGCACCCTCTGGGGCTCCCTAAGTTGTCATTTCCTGTGCTGTGAGCAGACTGCGGTCTTGGGCCCTGCAGAGGTCACTCCTTTTGCCATGGAACTCAGGGTCGCATCAGTAAACACACATTTCAGTCGGTGGTGATTTGTGAAATAGGTTTAGCAAAAATATATTGAGAATAAAAATCAGAAACTGGTAAAGAAAAGCCAAATGAAAAAATATACAAACTTCTCCCCCAAATGTAGATAAGAACCTAGCGAGTTCAGAAGACAGGCCCAGGGGCAAAGGGGCCCGGCCTGGCCAGCCCTCGAAAGTGCTCCGCGTGAACCACACGGTGAAAGTGGACGTGTTATCGGCATTTCGCTTAAATCCGTGAGGAGAAGACGGGAGGAAATTTGACACCACCATTGCTGCCACCACCTGCAGGGCCAGCTTCTCACTAGGATGGAAAAGAAGCATTCTGAGGAATAATTCACATTAGTACAAAAAAATGATACAGCCATTTCCAAAGAGCAGAGTAACGGTCACAATGGCGGTTTCGAGGAATCCAGGGTCGGTCCTCACACGGGCCTCACCTGGCCTCTCCTGAGTGGCAACAGCGCTGAAAGCAGACGCAGAGCAACGCGAAGCCGAGTTCCTACCGACCCTCGGGAAAAGCCTACGCTACACATTTCAGAGGAGATTAAAACATTTCATATGCCAATTAACTTCAAACTAAAAAAAGAGAGCGGGAGGGAACCTTGACATTCTGAGAAATTCAAGTGTGGCGGTAACGCTGAGGAGTGAGGCTGTTTGTCCAGGAACGCTGAGCTGGGCTCAGACGGTCATCAGTGCAGACGCAGCAGATGCTGCCGAGGATGGCTCAGTGGTGGGGAGGCGCTCCCTCCCGAGGAGGCCTGTACGTCTGTCCTGGAGGCTCGAGCTGGGTCCTCTGGGCCAGTTCATGCTCGCCCTCTGCCGCAGGCAGGGCCGGCCGCCCTGCACCGCCCCTGGATCTGGCCAAGCTGCTGCCTGGCGCTATTTGCCCTCTGTGACTCTCCGCCAGCCCCTCCGCCGCCGCCTCTTCCCCTTCGGCTTCCCTGGCTCTGGTGGGGGCTTCTCAGTCTTAGTGCTTCTGACCGATGCTGCCCCCAAGTCATGCTCACAGCAGTAGGACCGCCCATCCGGGGTGCAGCTGAAGGCTGTCCCATCCTGGTGCTCCTTACAGAACGAATTGGGACAGAGGTGGCAAAATGAAGTCGAAGGTTTGCCACACACGTCACAATGATGCCAAGGACATTCCCACTTCCCTGCAACAAAACACAAATATGAGACAGAAGTGACGGAATCATGACTTCATCATTCTCATGGTTGAATATAACTGAAAACTGTCAGGTCAAATGAACACAAATTAAAACAGCTCTGGGTCCAGCCAACAGCCCGGGCGGGCTCCCTGGTGGGGCCTGTTGACTCCACGGTACCTGCCAGCTTCTCTCTGTTTCAGCTAGTGAGAGAAGAGCTGCACCCAGTGCAGGCGTGTCCCCCAGCCCTGCGTGGACAGGCAGGAGCCACTTTGCTCACTCCATGCCTGGCTCTGACTGGCCCCGATCCACCCTCTCCCAAGGGACTGATTTTCAACTTGGGTCTTCTTTCTGTCATGGATCTGTAAAGGCTCTGTCAGGTTAGGGTTCACCCTATCACACCCACTGCAAATACTTTTCTCTATTGTGTGTCATCTTTGCCGTACAAAAATGTATTTGACACAAACATCTGGATTCTTTTCTTTTTGAGATGGAGTCTAGCTCTGTCGCCCAGGCTGGAGAGCAGTAGCATGATCTTGGCTCACTGCAGCCTCCGCCTCCGAGGTTCAAGCGCTTCTCCTGTCTCAGACTTCCATGTAGCTAGGATTACAGGGACGCGCTACCACGCCAGGCTGATTTTTGTATGTTTAGTAGAGACAGAGTTTCACCGTGTTGGCCAAGCTGCTCTCAAACTCCTGACCTCAAATGATCTACCCACCTTGGCCTCCCAAAATGCTGGGATTACAGGTGTGAGCCACCGCACCCGGCCTCTTTTGGGGAGCCACCGTGCCTGGCCTGGATTTTCTTTTTATAGTTTTTTTTTTTTTTTGAGATGGAGTCTTGCTCTGTCGCCCAGGCTGGAGTGCAGTGGCGCTATCTTGGCTCACTGCAAACTCCGTGTCCCCAGTTCCAGCAATTCTCCTGCCTCACCCTCCCAAGAAGCTGGGATTACAGGTGCACGCCACCACACCAGGCTAATTTTTGTATTTTTAGTAGAGATGGGGTTTCACCATGTTGGCCAGGCTGGCCTTGAACATCTGACTTCAGGTGATCTGCCCGCCTCAGCCTCCCAAAGTGCTGGGATTACAGGTGTGAGCCACCCCGCCCAGCCTCTTTTAGGTTTATTGTTCTGGATAAGGGCTTTTCAATTTTTCTTCTGCGATTACAGTCATAAGCCCCATGGTGACACCTGGGTCAGCAACACACTGCAAGACTGTAACAGAGACGGGTGCATCCTTAGGGTGTGAGCCGTGATGTTTGTGCGGCACCAGTCATCGCACAACCCGTTTCTCAGACTGTCTTGTCACCAAGTGGAATGAGATGCTACTGTTTTCCCATTGACACCTGTCTTCTCTGAAAAGCGTGCTGCTGGGAGGTGGGGCCCACTCCACTTTCCCTCAAACAGAGCCAAATCTGCAGCTCCTTCATCAACCAGCAGATCCTTCTGGCACACAGTGCCATCTCTGGGGACAGCCCGCCCTAAGCATCCCAGACGGGGACTCTGGGCCCCACCATCCCCAGTGTGGTGCACCCAGGGCAGGCCCTCTTGGGCTGCCAGGGAGATGCAGGTGCCAGGCTGCTGCAGTGGCCCTTCTCCTGGGAGGGGCTTTGTTCCCAGGGCTGCCTCCTTCCTGGCTGCCCTGCCCCACAGCATGGATGAGGGCCCCAATTCTGCAGGTGGGCCTCGGGCTGCCTGAACCCCTCCTGGAGATTCTGGGGGCTCCCTCACCACCACACATCTCCTCTGCTCGATGCAGAGATCTAGAATGTGTGGCTGGTGAAACAAAGAAAGGCTCTGCCACCCCCAATCAGGGCCTCCACCATACGAGTGACTGATGCACCAGCACCCAGATGAGGCCTGGGCAGCAGGAAGAGCAGCAAGAGCCGCCATCAGGGGCCCAGCACACAGGTATAGCCCCGAGCCGCCACGAGGCTGCACACCCACCGAAGGGCCGCTTGCCTAGGCCCAGGCAGGACAGGTGGTAGGCCTTGGTGCAGAACTTGCGGTCACACAGCACCAGCTGCCCGCCATCACCACAGCGGAAGCACTCATCCTCCGACTGCCTCTTCCCTTCCCCTTTGGCTCGGCGCCGCCTGGTTTTCTTCTTGGCCTTTTTGCCTTTTTCCTCTGAAGAAAGGGTCGTCGAGGTCTAGAGTCAAGAATGAAGCACAGGTCACTGGAAAGACTTACACGGGCTGAAGCAAACAGGGCAGAAGAGCGGCTCACGATCCAGGAGCTTCAGAGGTCTCTGCAGGTGCCCTAACACTAAGCAGCGGGGAGAGGGTGACCGGCTCGCGCTCCCCAGACATCCTTAGACTCACTCGACCAAGCGTGAAAAAGCCAAACAAAGAATATGACTAGAGTGAGCTTTGTCAGAAGCCTGCAATGACGGACCTCAGCAGACACACAGCCCCGGGATCTGCTGATGGGACCCCTGGGGCCAAGGAGGCCACCACAGGCAGAACAGCTCCCACGCCTGCCACCCGGGCTCTCCTCATTAGGAAACTCCACAGGAACATGGGTACAGGCGGGCAGCAGTGGCCTGAGAGCATTGGCAATGCGGCTGAGGACAGACACCAGCTTAGGGCCCAGGGAGGGCACCACCACCAGGCTTTCAGGCCCAGATTCTATGCAGCACAGAGCAGGAGTGCTAGAGTGCACCCCAAATCTGTCCTTCCTGGAACCTTGGCAGGTGACTGTATTTGGAAATAGGGTCATTGGCAATGTGATCTGTTTAGACAGGGTCAACATGGCAGCAAGCAGGCCCTGGGTCAACAGGACCGGTGCCCTGAGAAGAAGGGCACCTTAGCAGACGCGTTCGCAGGAGAAGGTGAGGCGGGGCTGCCACAAGCCAAGGAGCAGCAAGGGCTACGGCCGCCACCAGGAGCAGGACACATGCCTGGGAAGGAGCCTCTGGAGGGCGC